TAAACTCCACCCCTTCACTCTTAAGTCTCAAATTGACCAATGATTATGTAACGACCACACTATTTCTTTGTGATAGTCAGAAAAACAAACAAACCAAAAACAAAACTATATTTAAAAACAAACAAAAAACTTATACACGAGTATACATGGTAGCTGGTGCCTGGCTATCACCACTGACTGCTTTGACTAGGATGATAGGATGAACCAGACAGACTGGGAGAAAAAGGTAAAAGAAAATTCCAATTCATGACTTAGGCTAGATCAGGGGTCCTCAAACTTTTTAAACAGGGGGCCAGTTCACGGCCCCTCAGACCCGTTGGAGGGCCGGACTATAGTTTTTAAAAAACTATGAACAAATTCCTATGCACACAGCATATATCTTATTTTGAAGTAAAAAAACAAACTGGGCACAAACACCCGGCGGGCTGGATAAATGTCCTCTGTGGGCCGCATGTGGCCCACTGGCCATAACTTGAGGATGCAGGGCTAGACTTACTAAATGCCAGAGACTATGGCCCATAGATACCCCTCCAACACAGAAGTGAAGCCACTCCCAACAATCACCTTCCGGCCCACGTCAGACGGGGGACCAGAGCGCCACCTAGGACACACGGCGGACCCTGCTCCTCAGTTCTCAGCTGCGGAGCTCGAGGGCAGCACTTGCCCAAAAGTAAAGCTAAGAGGCAAGAAATCTGGGTGAACAAAAACAGGGGCCCCACAGTGAAAATGGCAGGGAGGGCTGACACCAGATGGGGACTGCCAGCAGTGTCAGGGAACAGATGTGTATACAATGCTGAAGAGCAAAAGAATGTACTCCATCAACTAAGACCATCATTAAAAAACACCACAAAACAACTTTCTCCTTTTTTTTTTACAAATGAGATTACTACAAACATGTTAAATTATATGTATGGTTCTCATAATATTTATTCCTAGTGAAGGGCCCCTGGCTGCCCAGCGACGAAGCCCAAAAATTGGAACTAATCTGCTTTCCGTGGAGATTACAGCCATGGAAACCCTATGGGGCAATTCTCCTCTGTTCTGCTGGGTCATGATGAGTCAGGATCGAGTTGAGGGAAGCAACAAGTAAAATCTGTATGAGGCAGAGCTGGTATATACACCAGGCAGCTGCCCAGACAAACTGCCTGATTGTGTCCATAGTTTTATGGGGATACAGCCACACTGATTCACTGACATGGCACGATGCAAGGTTGCTTTTATGTGGAATAAGGGAGTGTGACAAAGGCTATACAAGCCAAAATAGTTCCTTTTGGCCCTTTTCCAAAAAAGTGTGCTGACCTTCAGCACAGACTATATGGATCACAGAAATTCAGAAAACCCTATGTACAAATGTGCTTGACACACTGATGTATGGATTGTTATGAGGACTCAATAAAATGTTAAAAGCCCTCAATAAAATGAATTTTTAAAAACTGAGCTTAATCTTTTCCCTTTCATTTTTCCCATTCCAACTGCCTGCTGGCCCCTCCAGTTAGATGCCTTTGTGGTCAAGTTCAAAACCCCCAAATCTGACCCCTGTCCTCAAATACTTCCATGGTTCTGTTGCCTATCAAACTCTCTCATGTCCTACCAGCCCACACTATTCTCAAATTCTGCCGGTGGCATCGCCGCCTTTTCCCTGATTCAGTGGTTCTCAACCCTCACTGTACATCAGAATCACCTAAGGAAAGTTGTTTTAAATGTTTAGGCCTTACCCTGGATCCCTGGTTATGTGTTGGGCTACTAACCACAAGGTCAGCAGTTCAAAACCACCAGCTGCTCCTTGGGAGAAAGATGAGGCTTTTGAGTCCCATAAAGAGATACAGCCTGGGAAACCCACCAGGGCAGCTCTCCCCAAAGGGTTGCCTTGAGCTGGCATTGACTGGATGGCATTGAGCTGGGTTTGGATGAGGCCTTACTCTAGGTGGCGTGTCACCTGGTATGGGGAGAGGAACAAGCCTGGGAGTGTTTAGGGCGCAAACCACTGACCTTATGTGTTCAGGTGCAGATGATCGTTTTAAGTCTGCCCCAATACTTCCCCAGCCTGCTCACACCCACTGCCGAGACCGTCCCAGCCACCTCACCACCAGGTTCCAATTGACCTTTCTGGCTTCCTGGCTCCTGAGTCCCCTTCACACACCCTTACTTCCAATTGCGCTGCACTTTCCGCCACTCCCCTCAAAACCCAAGGCTTCTGTCCTCCCTCCCCTGCTCATTCCTATGCTGTCCCCACTTTCCCCAGGACAGCCACCAGCCAACTATTCATGTGTCCTCCCAATTCCTCTGGTCGGAAATAATCGCTCCGTAAAACTCCTTCAGCACCGTATTGGCTCTTTTGAAAATGGCCTTTCTCTCATTCAGCCTTAGGCAAAGCAGTCGGTGGGCCCATGGTGGTCTCTGGAGGCCAGGGGCTGACTCACACAGGATGGAATGGTGCGGTGGGAAGGCATCCTGCAGATGGCACAACTCAGCCTGTGCTCTGACAACCTGGTTTCCCTTCCTAGTCACTCTGCTCTCTCCCGTGGTTTCTGTTACCTGGGACAAACCCCAGAGCTAATGCATACTGGCTTGCTCTTTTTTTATTTTCCAGTCGACATTTCCAAAATGCTTCCCTGGACCAGACAAGATGTATGGAGCTGCTCTTTCTGATCTTTCAAAAAGCAGCAGCGTCTCCGCTTCCACGGAGCTCCTCTCTCATACCCACTTTTTAATGTCTTCATTCATCCTCCATGCGTAGAGACCTGTTCTGTACCTCTTCCTCTTCTCCACCAAAGAATGTGGGGGGAAAGTGGTAGGTATCCTATAGGCATTCTAAAGGGCAATTTGTAAGGGCGGCATTCAGTAAGCAGGTAGACAAATGAGGCATAACCAGTTAGAGAGATGAGAGTTTTCAAACAGATGAGAGGGAAAATGATATGAAGTAGCCACACGGTAATGTGCCGCCTAAAAGAACATGCAGAATTGCCCGAAGAGGAATACGAGGCTGAACTTCCTAAGTTTTTAAATACTGGAAAGAAACCTGGCTAAGGAACGTCTTTTCTGGGAAGACAGAAAAGACCTTGGGTGATTAGTAAGGACGGAAAGGAGACTGCGCCCCACAGGCCCTTTAGAGGACAAAGCCTCTCTAAAGGACACAGGGAGAATGAGTAACGCCGGAGTGACCAGGACATACCTGAGCTTCACCACCCAACACCGTGGGCATTAGCCACTTTGTGGAGCCCAGGAAATGGGGCTAGTGCCACACGGTGAGATATTTTTCAGGGTATTTTGGATTAAATTCTCAAATCAAACCTGCCACTTTCAATTCTAACTCATAGTAGGGCAGAGCAGAAACTGCCCCAAAGGTTTGCAAAGCTGTCAATCTTTATGAAAGCAGACTGCAGCCTCTCTCTGCTGGAGAGCAGCGCGCTGGTAGGGTTGAACCACTGACCTGTCAGTGAGCAGCAGCCAAGAGCTTAACCCCCGAGCTACGAAGTTATTAAAATTAACTTCATGTCCTCTTTCACTTTGCAAATGTGTCCAGTAGGTAAAAATTACAAATGAGGGCACTTCAAAAAGCTCGCAGACAAAATGAATTAAAAGATCATGGAAAATTTCTATAAATGCTTCGAAGCATCCTTTGTAGATGTAAAAACTGTAGCCAGTGCTATCCAAAATTATAAGGTGGCTATATAAAAAAAGAAAATCCATGGGAAAATTTGGTGATCTCTCTCTCAACTCCATTTCCCCCCATGAAGGTTCTGAAGGCCCCTTGAATGATCTACCTTTTCAATCACAATTCTTCTTTAAGGCTTATCATTTTACAGGAGAGAGGGAAGCCTTGTGAGCTGGAGGCTTTACATTCATTGCCTTGCATGGCCAGTGCTAACAGATGAAGAAACAGGTCACAGAGGTAGTCAGTGATACAGCCGGTCTCCCCACCACCAAGCCTTTAGGGAACAAAGAGCAAAGGATAAAGGCCTCATCACCACATTCTCCACTGCTCACTCATCTGTTTGCAACCCCTCTTTCCCTGCGGGGGGGCCGCTCAGGGGTCTTGTGGCTGCCAGGGAACTCACCGGGGCCTCTTTTATCCCAGCCACAGATCATGGTGCCCATGGACAGCCCCATGCCTTTGTACTGGTACACCATGTTGGCCAGCAGCTTGGAGGCGGCGGCCACCGAGATGCGTTCCTTGTTTCGAAGCTCGTAGATGCGGCACTGGCGAGCCAGCAGCCTCTCCCAGAAGCTGCAATCCGCCGCACCCCCAGCCATGGTGCCCAGCAGGTAGGGGTTGATCTCGATCACCTTCTTCACAGTCTGCGAGGCGATGTAGGCTCCGGCCGTGGCCCGCGAGTCCACCGCCACGATGACTCCGCGGCGAAACTGCCAGGGGGAAACACAGCGCGGGCCACGTGAGGCCACAAGACACCGCCGCCGTGGCTCTCGGCTGACTCGGCACCAGTGCAAACCCGGCCGCTCGCCACGGCCTCACACGTCACCGTTTACTTCCCGCATATGAATGCCCCTGCAGCGCACCAAGCTCTCCATCTGGGCACCGGCGGGCTGGCAAACGAGACCCTGGGGTGGCCGCGCCGGAACGACTCGCTCTAGCAACGGTGGAAGGGGGCCGGGATCCCCAAGCTTCAGCGCTCCCGACCTCCCGCCGGAGACGCAGAGCCACCGCCCGGCTCCTAAATCCTTCAGGGACTCGGCCCCGCGGCCTCCCTCTACCCCCACTTGGCGCTTGGGGACGGGAGGCAGGTGTGGGGTCGTTTAGGGCACGGGGGACCGAGCGGGCGGACCGCGGGCAGGGGACCCGCACCTTGAAGGCCAGCGTGGTGGTCCCGTGAAGCATCTCGATCCTCGGCTCCTCCGGGACGCCCCATCGGGGCGCCGCCAGCTTCAGTCCGTCGCGGTAGCTTCCCGGACTCGGGTGCAGCAGGTCTGCGCAGCCCCCGAGTCCGAAAAAGCCGCGCTCGTTCACCGGCAACGGCCTCTGTAACACACTGGCCAGCGCCATGTCTACTGAGGGCAAGTCGCGCGCACGCCTAGACGCCCCGGAAGGGACGGTGGGCTACCCCGCCCGCCCGGGGACACTTCCGCCCTAACTGAGGCCGGGCCGCCATCTTTACTCCTGGCAGCCACGCCCCCAAGGACCGAGCGCCGGACATCCGGGGCCAGGTCGCCCGGGAGGCGGCTTCTGGCGGAACGGCGTCGCTATCCTGACCTTCGGAAAGGACGGACAGCCAGATCGACGTGGCCAGACGACGGGTACGGGGCAGGCTGGCCGCAAACTCACGAGGGAGGGGCGCCGGCCATCTTTGAGAAGGGCGTGACTGGCTGAAAATCGGCCGGGCACCTTTAAAGGTGCCCTGGCCTCGCTCGCGCCGCCCCGCCCCCCAGCCTCCGGGCGGGCCACGCGAGGCCGCCTCCGCGCACCCACCTCGGTCCGCTCACGCGACTGAAGTTGCTATTTGATTGACGAGCCCCTCTCTCATACTGGTTAACACCGTGATCTTCCCGGGGACGTGCAGAATGATGGGTGCGGATGACACTGCTGAGTGTCACTTCCAGAGGTCACACCAAAATAAATATACAATTTTGGCGCAGTGGTTCAGCAGAAATTTATTATTTTCTATGATAACAAAACATTTTCATTAAACCCAGCCTACGTGTATTAATAGACCTACAAAGCTAAAACTCGATGCTAATTCACTTTTTGAACCTTCTAATGTACTTCTAATGGAGAGCGCTGGTGGCAGCGTGGACTTTGCAGTCAGCTGTTAACACAGTGTCAGCAGTTCGAACCCGCTAGCCCCTACAGGGGACAAAGGTGAGGCTGGGTTCTCCAGCAAAGATTTACACAGGGGCAGTTCTGCTCTGTTCTATAGGGTCCTTATAGCTCAGTCAACACATAGCTGTAAATGTGGGGGGAAATGCACTTGTCAGAGCACAGAATATAACGGCAACTCAGAATCTGTGGTTTTACCTGTATCCATTACCCATGGGTTGTTTTCAAGCTGCTGGTGTTTTTATTGCTGGTTTTGTCAACTTTTCTGGTATTTTAACTACACTATCATGGTAATTCGTATTATGAAACTAAAGCAGTAACTTTTTTAAGAATAGAAATTATTTTGAAATAGAAATGAAAGGAACAGTTGGAACAATGTTAAAGGATTCTGCTCTGGGGGTCTGGCCCCAGTCCCAAATATTAAGTGGATGCCTGCCCCTCCCCCGAGAAGAAGTTATTTCAAAGGATGGCACTAAATCCGCAGCTCAGGGAGAAGGATATATCTGACCAGAGTATACAGGAGCAGATGACGGGGGAGGAGGAGAGACTGGAGCACATCCTGGCCCACCAGGCCTTGAGGACGATGACCCCAA